TATATAGACGATGAGTGTAACAGATGGCAATGCACACATGATGCTGAAAGCAGCAGCAAGAAATAGGTGAAATTTTTTCCAGCCTTAATGCGAAAGGTCAATTACCTTTTCCATCATCGCCTCCGAAAGTAGTGATAAACTGCGGTCGAGCTTCGTCTTCAGATTCACTTGATGAACTCGATTCGAGAACAGCCTTCTTTTGGGCAGCAGCATTTTCAACAAAACTGAAATCAATATTAGCGACTGGATATGAAATCTCACTTTATGGTTTACCCATTCAAATGATCAGTTTGAATAGCATTGAGTGGATAGTGAGTTGTACTATTATACTATTAAGTAGTTTCATGGCTGATACTAAACGCCTAAGGCTCACAATAATTTTTGTCATTTCCTCAATTTGTTTGTATTCCACATACGAAAAAGACATTTGCATTTAAAGAAACAAATACATCATGCGGCTTGTGAGGACTGCGATAATTTGTAGGAAGACATTAGTCTGAAGAAAAGTGGTCATTATGCCAAGCTATAACTTTACACACTATTTTTTATGCTGGATTAATCCATTTCCGTAAAGAAATAAATATCTCCTAATGCGAAACCTTTACGTAGGTTTTTTTCAAATAGTTCGCTTCGAGATTCGCCTAGAAAATCACAAATTAATTAGTGTACTCATGTTGTACTCATCAAGTTTCCCTGACCGTACTTATAATTTTATATAATACTTCTTGCAAGAGGAATAGAAGAAAGGAAAAAAGTGGCATGATTTGCGATACGTGAGTGTATAAAGTTACACCAGAATAGTATAATCAGTACTTGTACTAGGTCAGTAAATGCTCGCAGACCTTAGAACCGATTTCTTTGAAACGTAATCTAGCTCACAAGCTTAAATCGTAACACAGCGTTACGCACTTCAGCAGCGATGAAATTTTGTTAGATATGTCCAAGTTCTTAGTTTGAAGATCAGCAGAAATCATTGCATGCACTCGGGAAAAGCAGAGTTGTGGGTAAAGCCAAACCTCAATAGCGAGACTGTAGCTTCATCAGGGCATCCTTTGCCCACTATAAGAGCACGTTGCTTCTTCAGCAGCAAACGCTCGTGCTTCGAGTCGCGACCCTGAAATCATCTCCTCAGTGAGGAACAGATAGAGAGGGTTGAAATGAAATCTTTACTACATGAAAAGATGTGCTGTTCCTAATTCCTACTATTACAGATTACAATGCAAATGAAGCAGGTTGACAAAGATTTTTGATATCTTTTTACAAATAACTCGCTGATAATTACTGAGCACTTTTTCGTACTGTAAAACTCTAACG